GTTTGTGGACGGACTTCGAGGGCCGTTGCATTAGAGTTGGAGTGGTAACTACAGTTGGACATTGTTTGATTGCAGTTGATCTCCCTACCTTCAACTCTTGTTGTTGGTAGCGGAGCCCGCAAGGGCTACCGCAGGGGCTGAGTGTTCATGGCTCCCAAGCAGGTACAAGCAAATGGTCCAGGGAATCCTTCAGGGTCTACAGGACAAGCTGTCCCTACCGGAGTGAGCACTGCGAAACTAGACAACTATGTTCCAGTGTTTAGCAACGCTATGCAGGACTATCGTGAGTTCAGGAAACGATGTGAGATTTACAGGAAGAAGATGCAAATTGGCAATCGGCAGTCAGAAGTTGTTTACAACCTGGTTACATTGATGAGTGGAAAATCATGGGATCTTGTTGAAGACATGACAATGGACCAGATGGCTGCCGACAATGCCTATGACCTCTTGTTCGAACGACTCGATCGAGGATTCAAATATGATCCTTTGACAGAGTTGCCCGACGACTTTGAGCAGTATTTCGTTCGACTGCAGAGGAAACCCCATCAGACCTTGCAGGACTACATGAATGACTACACCCGCTGTGAACGACGGCTTCAAATGACGCATTCAGTCAACCTTCCTGAAAAGGTCAGGGCATGGTGGTTTTTGAGGAGGTCAGGGATTACAAAGGAGCAACGTCAGCTGATATTGACCAATACTGGTACAGGTGGATTGACAATTGAGGAGGTGATGAAGTCCATGAGCTTTATCCTTGGGCAGGACTCGACATTGCAATCCACATCATCATCCAGATGGTCACGGCCGCCAGGAAAACCAGTCGACACCTACTACTGTGATGAAGACCAGACATACGACTGGGCAGCTGGATCCGATGAAGTGGTGATGGATCCCTCCCCAGCGTATTATGGTGAGGATTATGACTGGGATGATTGGCAAGACGGCGCAACAGAGTGTGCAGAAGACATTGCTTTTGTTGATCATTGTGAACAGGTGTACGATGTTGATGAGTTTGATGATGTGTTTGCAAACTATCAAGATGCAAAAGCAAAGATGAACGCACTTCGCAATTCCCGTGGATTCTATCCTGTTGTTGCTATGTTGCCGCCTCACGTGTCAGGACAATCTCAAGGAGGACAACCTCGTGGCAAGAGCAGTGGCAAATCCAAGTCGAAGAGCAAAGGCCGATCCAGTTCAAAGGGCGGCAAAGCAGGACCAAAAGCAAGAGCAGCAGCGGCTATGGGAGGAGGAGCTGGACGACAACTCTGTCTTCGCTGTGGAAACGCCGGTCATTGGGCTCGCAATTGCCCAATGCCACCCGGTGACAAGAAGCGCAAGATTGGAGAAGAAGCTGAAGGTTCCATAAACATGGTCGAAGAAGTGAATGCTGCCGCAGAGGCCTTTCACATTGATGCAGATGAGAATGACTTTGTTGGAGATGATACAGCAGTGCAGGACGGAGGTGCAGCATCAGTTCTCGGAAGCGCATGGCAGATCAGAAAGTATCTCCGTTTCTTGTTGGAAGAAGGCTTCAACATTCACGACATTCCAATGTTTCAGTGCGAGAAGGGATTCAAATACGGCAACAGCATGAAGGAGACAACAAACAAGTGCATTGTGTTGCCCATTTTTCTGGGTGGCAAACGCATTGATGTGTTGACATATGTGATCAAGGGCACCGCACCGATCCTCGTTGGTCGACCGTTGCTTGAACAGTTGGGCCTACAGTGGACTATCAAAAGAAGATGATGAAATGGCCCGAAAGCAATTGGGAGGACCTGCCAGTGGGATCCCGTGGTGAGCACTTGCTTCACTTGGGCAAAGACATTCGTCAGTGCCTTGCAGATGAACCGCATCAAGTGCTGCTCCCAGAGGACACCGAATCTCATGTCGGAGAACATATCGATGGAGGCATTCAGCAGTTGTTGGATGAGGTGATGGTTGCAGAAGACACGTTGGACGTGTCTCAGCCTCGGCAGTCAGTCTTGCCGGCTACCACGCGTCAGTCAGACGGAAAAGATGAGCAGGAGATCGGAGCGGTCAAAAGACTTCATGGTCATGTCCTACGAAAGCTGCAGCGACAAGCAGAGGAGGCATGCAGAGTGGAGGACAAGATGCTTCAACAGGGGCAATCCATTGACAATGCAAGTGTCATGTGATGTGGGAGGTCTTTGTTGGAAAGGGTCGGACGACCAAATACCTCAGCAAGTATCCCCATGTGCAGACAGAGATCTTCTCGCTCCAGACCGGTTGGGACTTTCGAATCGGGTCTCACCGTTCCAGATTCCTTCAGCGACTTCGAGAAGAAGAACCAGATGAGTTGATGATGTCACCTATGTGTCGCCTCTGGTCACCAATTCAAGAATTGAACATAGCGAAGTCGCAAAGCTACAAGAACAAGATTGCTGAGGACAGGCAGTACAATCATGACACCATCCTGACCATGTGCTCGGTTGCATTTCAGGAGCAATACCGAGGTGGGAGACAAGCCACGCTGGAACACCCCTGGCTTAGTCGTGCATGGAACACACGTGCATTTGCGCGCTTGGAAGAGATCAGCTATGACACCTATGTTGATCAGTGCATGTATGGTCTGAAGATTCCAGATCACGCTGGTCATGAACAGTTGGCTCACAAACCCACATGTTTCCGCACGACAAAGGCAAGTCTCGCCGAAGGTCTAACATGGTCTTGTGATGGTAGCCACAGCCACATTCCCATCGAAGGCAATGCACCAGGCGGCAAAAGTCGAAGCTCTATGGCTGAAGACTATCCAGAACGACTGGCAAAGAAGTTGGCACAACTGATGCAAGCAGATCCCGATGAAACCCCAGTCCTTGCAGCAGAAGATGAAGATGTCGACATGCCAGAAGTACCACAACCCCTGGTTCAGCAAAGTGAGAAACAAGATCTACTTCCCAAATGATGACCCCATTACCAGCAATGCGCAGCTTCGTCGACAGGTTGGCAAAGCAGCAATGAACTATGTGGTCAGATTGCATCGCAACTTGGGCCATCCAGGATCCAATGTTCTTTGCAAGATGCTTGAAGAGGTTCAGGCCACCGAGAATGTCATGACAGCAGCTCGAGGTTACGTTTGTCCAGGATGTTTCATTCGCCAAGGTCCAGCAGGCGTACCACCGGCATCGGGCTTGACGGCTCGTGTCTTTGGCGAGAGACTCATGGCTGACGCGGCATGGATTGACACGGACGATGGTCGTGTTTGTGTCATGACATTGATGGATCAGGCCACCAGGTACATCGCCATCCGCATCATGAAGAGTGAACAATCCACAGACCTGGTGAAAGGCATTGAACGAAGCTGGATCAAACACTTCTCCGGGCCCAAGTACCTTCGTGTTGATGAGGGTAAAGGTTTTGCAGCAAGGTATCTTCGTGACTGGTGCTCTGAAAGAAATGTGATTTTGGAGGTCGCGCCAGCTGAAAGTCACAACTGGATTGGATCCATTGAACGAAAACATCAAGTTGTGAGGAAAAGCCTTGAACTGTACACGCAGGAGCGTGGGAGAAGGGACAAGAAGACATTAGTTGAAGCAGCAGTGTACTGCCCTGGCCAAATCAATGGTTCACACCATCACAATGGGTGCTTGGCAGGTCAGCAGCAGATACATACAGTTTGACATCCGCAGTCTTCAATCCAAGTCTGTCTCCTATGAAAGATCCACTTGATTTCAATCAGATTCAGGCAAAGCGGTTGGCAGCTCAGATGGCATTCCTCAAGGCAGATTCAGATGCTCGTCTTCGCAGAGCAATGCAGCAGAATTTCAAAAGCACCAAGCATCACATTGTTGTCGGACAGATGTGCTACTATTGGAGGATTCAACGGTCTGGCATACTGCAAAAGAACAAGTGGCGGGGACCAGCAAGGTGCGTCGCAGAAGAGAAAGATGATGAAGGAAAGCAATTGGTATGTCATGGCACTTCATTGATTCGCTGCTCACCCCATCAAGTTCGACCACTTGTCAAAGATGCAGGACTACACAAACCAGTTGATGCCCATGCTGCATTGGAAGATTTGAAAGAGCTGCGAGCAAGAAGCACCACTCAGTTCAGAGATGTGGTTCAGCCTGAGGAGTACGAGCTTGAAGATCTGATGAATGATGAGAATGAAGAATATGAACCCACCGAACCACCATCAGATCAAGAAGCACGAGATGATACAATTCCAGAAGATGAGATTCCTGGTGCAGTCCTCATGTACCAGAACAGACGAAGTGAAGAGATGAACCAAAGACCAAACTCTTCCGCTTCACCATCTACAGAAGTTCCAGAATGTCCTTCAATGGCTGGAGATGATCAAGAAACGAAGAGAGAGATTGAGGATGACATCCAAGAGTCAGCATTGAAGCGTGCGAGAGAGGCAGCCGACGTACCGGTACCTGACGATGATGATTTGTACATTGATGATGCATTCATCGTTGAGGCTCAGTCGGGTACAATTCCTTCAAGTTGGCGGCTCATTGATGGAAACTTCGAATTGGATGAGGCATTCTTAGCTGAAGTGAGTGAACGTCACATGACATTGGCTGAGAAAGAAGAGATGATCAAAGCAAAACAGAAGGAGCTGATGCAGTACCTTGAAAACAAAGTTTGGGAGTTCACCGAACTCGGCAAGCACCAGGGCAACAGAGTCATTTCCGCAAGATGGGTGCTTGTATGGACACCACCGGCTGAAGGAGAGTTGCAGCGACGTGCAAAAGCACGTTTGGTTCTTCGAGGCTATGAGGATCCAGACTACCTCAGTCTTGAAAAGAACAGCCCCACTGCAAACAAGACGTCCAAGATGCTTTTGTTGGCCCTCACGCCAATCCTGGGATGGACAATATTTTGTGGTGACGTTCGTGCTGCATTCCTTTCAGGAGCCACCTTCAGCAGGGAGATTATCGTCAAGTTGCCAGCAGACTGCAGTGCCATGCTAGGCAGCAAAGGACCCACACACATGAAGATGAGGAAGAGTGCATACGGCCTGTGTGATGCTCCCTTGTTGTGGTGGACCGAAGCAGATAGACGCCTTCGCAACCTTGGTCTGAAGAGGCATCGATTATGCAAGTGCACATACATGTCATACAATTCTTCCATGCAGTTGGTTGGGTTGATCATTGTGCACGTTGATGATTTGTTGATGGTTCAACATGAGTGATCATGATGCTGAAAAGACCATCCAGAAGATCAAAGGTGCATTTGATTTCGGCAAGTGGCAAGAACTCAAAGAAAAAGAAGACATCATATACTGTGGTGGCCGAATTTCGAAACAGGGTGAAAAGGTCAGTCTCGACTTTGAGGACTACATGAAGAAGGTCATGCCCGTGACCATCCACAAGGGTCGAGGACCAAATGATGCTCTCACCGCCGGAGAAGTATCAAAAGCCCGTGCTTTGATAGGTGCATTACAGTGGCCAGCAGGTCAAGGATGTCCTTTCTTGAGCGCATCAACATCATTGACTGCAGCGAACATCAACAAAGCAACAATTCAGCTTTTGACTGACTTGAACAAAACATTGAGGTTTGGCAAGCAAGCAGCAGATTTCAAGCTCAACATGTCCGCAGCGTGCTCAGGTCTTGACGACCTTTGTTTGTTGTGCTTTTCAGATGCTGCATTCAATGTCAGAAGCGATGGTAGCAGTCAGGGTGGATACATTGTTGTGTTGACATCGCAGAAAGCATTGTCTGGTCAGCAGGTTCCATACAATGTGCTCAGTTGGCGATCCTTCAAACTCATTCGAGTTTGTCGGTCAAGTCTGAGTGCAGAGAGTCAAGCGTGCTCGACAGCGCTTGACGAGCTGATGATGGTGAGGTCAATGCTTGCAATGATGTTGAATCCACAGCTTGATCCGATGGCAGAAGCTACAGCAGCAGAGTGTGGCAAGTCGGCCATCATCATTGATGCCAAGGCCCTTTACGACAGTTTGAAGAAGGACGGCATTGGCAGCTCAGCTGACAAACGTGCTGGAATAGAGATCTTGTGCATCAAGGAGGAGATCAAAAGGCTCAAGACAGAGCTCAGGTGGGTATCCAGTGAACGGATGCTCGCAGACGGGCTCACCAAGATCCATGCCCGACAGCAGATGACAGAAATGTTGAAAAGTGGTTGGCTCAGCATTGTTCATGATGAAAGCTACACAGCAGCCAAAAAGAAGAACAAGGAGGAACGACAGGCATCCACAGCAAACACCTTTGGATACACGAACCAAGTGGCAGCAAGGATTTCGATGGTTGTTGCATTGAATCATGTTGCAGAGGCCACGACAATGGACAACACACAAACTGAAGGTGAAGAGTTGGGTGTAGTTGAATCCGCTTTCTTCAACTATGCTTTCTTTGTGACAGCATTGTCATTGTTGTTGGGAGTGCCTATGGTGGCATATGGGATCTACAAGTGCATGTGCAGGTTGTTTCAGTTCATCAAGTATCTGTACTATCAGGAAAGGTTGGTTACCATGCTACGCTTGGAAAACCTGGAACTGAAAGAAGAAGCAGAGAATTCCCGAAAAGAGCTGGCACGACTCCGAACTCGCCTCGTGAGGATGCGAGTGGGCTTGTGTTTTTACACCGAAGGTGGAACACGGTGGCATGTCTTTAATGATTGCCGCAGCTTTCGTGCTAGTTCAAGGGTGTTGAACAAAGATGGCCTATGTCGGGTGTGCTGGGAACGATTGCAAGATGAAACGGCTGGAGAGGTGAGAACACCACCACACGGCTGGAATGAAGACACCGACGCCGTCGATGAAACGACAGAATGAATTTAGAATTTTGAATTTTGTGAATGTCTCGGCAGCCCCCCTTTCTCCCATGTGAAATTCCATCCGGAAATCCATGGATCACTTCACTGATAGA